TAAGATATAAAAAAAAAAATCAAAATTTTCAGGAATTATAACTTCTCGGTCATCCTATTTAACAGGCATCGCATCTACTAACACCGGCACTTCATTACGCAAAAGCTAAGCGGAAAATCTAAGTAAAAGTATCAGCTGACCATAAAATCACAATTTTATCGCAATTGTTGTTGTTAAAAAAGAGAAGAATGCACGCATTAGAATATATGTACGCACAAGTAAATGAAAAATGCATGGGCTTAATGTAGTATCAGTCGTTTTTCTTAATAATTTCGGTCCTACTCAACTGATTTCAACGAAATTCTACTTATTCAATTGAAATATTTGCCAGCTTATATTTGCAACAGAACTTAATGTAAAAATTTTTTTACCATTTTGAGCTGGTATTCAGAATGCACCAATGTTCGATGGAAGGCACAAGGAATGAGAGGCAGACAAAGCTCAGTTGTATTTGAGAACTGAGTGCAATCGAAAATCACTGCGCTAAAGCAATGTCAAACGAAAATAATATTAGTGACGCTGCAACATTAGAAGTGGAATATGGCTCTCTACCTAATATGTCAAATGATCCATGGCGAGTGTTAATGGACATGCAAAACAAAAATTTAATTGAACTTGTAAAAGCATTAAAATCAGCGCCATCTGTAGCAACAATTAATAAGGCAGTTGCCGAAATTTAACGTCTATCTTATTGGCTCTGAAAATAACATGCGAGGCAGTGCGTTAGTGACGGCTCTGAGTGCAGCGTTGGAAGGCAGTGCGTCGCAGTGGCTCTCGCACATATGTTATCCCGAAGTAAATTGGGCTGAGTTCAAGGAACTTTTCGTTCAGTGCTTTACCAGTGCAGAAACACCAGCAGCTATGTTTTTGACAATGTTATCAACTAGCCCGTCCGACGGAGATTGTCTCTCCAATTATGCTAGTCGCATGATGACCTCACTCATCACTAAATGGCGTGATATGGAGATTGCTGTTTCTGTGACGCTTGCTCAGTTGTCTCATATTGATACCAGATTGCAACGTCTAATCTTTACTTCAAACGTGCGCACCTGGAGTGAGTTACAGACCGAGCTTAAAGCTTTCACATTCAACAAACAGAAGAAATCTTTACAAGAAAAAAACAGCTGCAGCTGACATAAAACGGCAGAAATTGTCAACAATAAAATGTCATTTTTGTGGAAAATTGGGTCACAAGGTGGCTAAATGTAGAACTAGACAGCAACAAAGACTTTCTTCCCGTGTTGTGAGCATAGTGATAAGAGCGTGTTTGGTCGCCAATAGCAATCAAATTAAATCTGTTTCAAGTGTGGCGAAGTTGGACACATTTCAACCCATTGCAGTAAGTAAAAGATGGACAAGGTCAAGGATACGCATCAGGTGAAGAGAGTGCAGATTTATGAAGTTGTTGAGCCCAAAGGAGAGATGATTCATCATGGCGTGGTTTTCACGATAACATTTGACTCTGGTGCGGGATATTCTTTAATGAAACAAAAGATAAGACTAGTTAGTTGGTAAAAGAATTAACAATGTAGTACTATTGAAGGGTATTTGCAATGACAGCATTTTTAGTACATTATAAATACTTAGCAATGTAGAAATTAACAATCATTGTATTGAAATGCGATTCCATGTTTTGGACGATGAAGATTTGAAGAACAAAATTGTGATTGGTCGAGAAATATTATCGCAGGGTTTTCATGTCATTATGTCACCCGGAAATTTAGAAATTGTCAGATCAAAAATTGTAAGCTATTGTTCAAATAACGATCTATTTTCTGCATACTTATTTTGTCGGTGAAGATAAAGATAAATTAAACAATTTATTGAAAAACTTCTTAGCTCAAATTAATTAAAATTAAATTAGCAGACCCTAGAAAAGTTGTTCAAAGATGAGAACACAGACTTGGCCTAAATGAAAGGGAGTTAAGGCGGGACAAGATTGAAGAGCTGTTGGAATAAAATGTCATAAGGGAAAGTTGCTCACCAATATCCAAGTTCTCGTGGATACGGTGCTATCTTATTACATAAAATCAATAATAAGCCTTATATCGAGTTTTTCAGTAAGGCTGCTTCACCTGCTGAGGCACGATACTATTCTTATGAATTGGAGACTTGCGGTTGTCATGGCTATAAAGCATTTCCGTCATTATTTAACAGGTAGACATTTTGTTATTTTTACCGATTGTAATTCACTTAAAGCATCAAGATCCAAACGTGACCTATCTCCCAGGGTCCAAAGATGGTGGGCTTACAGTCGATCTCGTTTGATTTACAGTATAGGGAGAGTAAGCGAATGGCTCATGCTGAATTCTTTTCCAGAAATCTCCCATCCATGGATACGATTGGTACTTGTAAAATTTCTCAGAGACGAGTCAATCTGGCGGAGATATCTAGTGAATGGCTTATGGCTGAATAGCGCAAAGATTCCGATATTATTAATATTGTGAATAAACTAAAAGATAATACTCTTTGCAGAGGACATTGCAAAAACTTATGAGCTAAGAGCAGGAATAATTTATCGGAAAATTCAGAGAAATGGTAGAATTCGATCTTTGCCAATTGTTCCAAGACCATTTAGATGATCTGTAATAAATCTAATTCATAAGTCAATCATGCACTTAGGTTGGGAGAAGACTTTAGATAAGGCCCATGATTATTACTGGTTCGATCACATGTCTAAGAACATGCAAAAGTTTGTTGAAAACTGTATTACTTGCAAAATGTCAAAGTCATCATCAGGTAAAATTCAGGCTAGACTTCATCCAATACCAAAGATTGACACACATGATACACATAGACATGACTGGAAAGTTGACTGACAAGTCTGATAAAAAAGAGTATGTCATTGTCCAAGTGAACGTTTTTACTAAATTTGTTTATTTAACACACACACTCAAGATTGATGCTGACAACAGTATAGGTGCTGTGAAATTAGTTGTATCTTTTTTTTGAGTAACAAACCGCTTAATAGCAGACCAGGGTAAGTGTTTTGCCAGCTCTAGCTCTTTAGTGAGTTTTGTTCTCAACAAAAAATAAATTTGCATTTAATTGCGACAAAAGTTTAGAGGACCTATACAAATAGCTGAGTTGTTAGACGGAGATAGATATCCTTAGATCAATGACAAATAATAGGAAATACAAGTATGCTCACGAAGATAATAAGATAATAAGATAATAAGAAAATTGCCAAAGGAGTATGTACCAGTTAAGCTAGAAAGTAGTGAAGAGGCTTTAAATGAAATGATTGAAAAAGAAACTGTTGAGAGAGATTGAAATAATTGAAACTGTTGGAAGAGACAGTATGGATGCCTGAAAGGCTGATTATAAATCTTGAAAGAATTTGTCATAATGCAAGCACAATAGCAAAAATGTTTTGATCATGGCGTGTGTCGCATAAGATGGAAATAAGATGGGTTTATGATAATGAAAAAATTATTAAGAAAGTTAAATTCATTTAAAGATTAATTTTATATTACTTTAAGAATGAAATAAAGAGTTGAATTTAATATTCTAGAAGTTGAATTGTAGTTGCAATTGATACAGTTGTATGAAAAATGAAAATGTTAATGTAAAATTCTATTCGATAATTTATGAATAAAATGATTTATGCAGTAAAGCATTTTCATGGAATTACATGAGGTTGTGTTGTGGTCAGGATAGCCGTGCTTAAGTAGTTTGTCGGCGCGTGCTAGTAATGTGTGAGGATCGCACTGCGTATGGTGCGTCTTCGAGCATTTTCGTTAGAACTGCAACATTATGCTGATATTGCATCATCCTTTTTGTGCGTTGTGATTGTTTGTCTGTGTTTTGTAGTTTGGTAAAGTCCCGTTTTAGCGAGGCGATAGCTACAGAAGCTGTCGCTGAGCGTGGTTCGATGGAAGGCACACGGAATGAGAGACTGACAAAAGTTCAGCTGTATTTGAGAACTGAGTGCAATCGAAAATCACTGCGCTAAAGCAATGTCAAACGAAAATAATATTAGTGACGCTGCAACATTAGAAGTGGAATATGGCTCTCTACCTAATATGTCAAATGATCCATGGCGAGTGTTAATGGACATGCAAAACAAAAATTTAATTGAACTTGTAAAAGCATTAAAATCAGCGCCATCTGTAGCAACAATTAATAAGGCAGTTGCCGAAATTTAACGTCTATCTTATTGGCTCTGAAAATAACATGCGAGGCAGTGCGTTAGTGACGGCTCTGAGTGCAGCGTTGGAAGGCAGTGCGTCGCAGTGGCTCTCGCACATATGTTATCCCGAAGTAAATTGGGCTGAGTTCAAGGAACTTTTCGTTCAGTGCTTTACCAGTGCAGAAACACCAGCAGCTATGTTTTTGACAATGTTATCAACTAGCCCGTCCGACGGAGATTGTCTCTCCAATTATGCTAGTCGCATGATGACCTCACTCATCACTAAATGGCGTGATATGGAGATTGCTGTTTCTGTGACGCTTGCTCAGTTGTCTCATATTGATACCAGATTGCAACGTCTAATCTTTACTTCAAACGTGCGCACCAGGAGTGAGTTACAGACCGAGCTTAAAGCTTTCACACGCCAGCTTTCAATGACAACATTTGACTCTGGAGTGGAATGTTCTTTAATTAAACAAAAGATAAGTGCAAAGTTCGTTGGTAAAACAATTATCAATGTAGTACTATTGAAGCGTATTGGCAATGACAACATTTGTAGTACATTGCAAATACTTAGCAATGTAAAAATTAACAATCCTTTGGTTGAAATGATATTCTATGTGTTGAGTGATGAATATTTGGGGTCTGAGTGCAATCGAAACTCGCTGCGCTAAAGCAATGCCACACGAACTGTTACATATAAACTAACAAAACTATTATACCATACAGACTTTTCAACGCTCAAACCTGTCACACTCGATACCTGTAAAATTCGTACTTGTTTGGTTTCCTCACTTTCAGGTCCGATCAATAAAAATATGATCAGACGCTGATCAAGGCTGATCCATACATGTAGTTACACTATTTATATTATTTAGATAACAATATGCTTTGTATTTAGAAATGGTTGGGATCGGAAATTCGGTAATAAGGACTTTATATTAATACTGTTTCCATTGTATAAGGTTGTTACAGCTAAAGAGTTATAATCACATTAGTGTTATTGCTGGCACATAGTCACATAAAAGACGGTGATGATTTACGGGATCGTGAATGAGACTTCGATGTGCTTTTTAGACTGTGACGTGAGCTGCTGCGTGGTTTAAAATTGTAACTATCCCATGGTTCTGATGCGCGTCCAAACCAGTTTACTAGGTCAATCACTTCTAGCTGCAATTCAAATTATATTATAAAAATTATAATTTAGTTTAATTTTATGCTTACTTGAAGAACTTGCGGTAGTTCCTTGAATATTTCAGACTTGGTAAGATAAGCGTGTTGCGATAAAAAAGAAATACAACTGGACTTGAGCACTGTTGCTACGTAACGATCCGCTATGCCTAATAGACAGACTACGGAATCCTCATCTATCAATGAATTCAGTGTATTTTCACATATTTCCTATAAATATAGACAATCGAAAATGTGAGACTGAGAAACCAAGCAGTTAGAGAAAGAGAAGGACATAAGGACAAGAGACATAAAGTAAAAACGAGAGAACAATTAAGAGAAATGATTAAGAACCCAGCTAAACTACCTTTAAATTATCAATTGAGTATCTATCAGCCAGCAGCATAAGTTCGCATATTTGATCAGCTCCCACAGTACGATCTATAGGAGCACCATAAATGTAAAGTAGCAGTCTTCGAAAGATAACTGGCGAAGTGTCTGTTATAATGACTTTTCTGTTGATCGATTCCTTCATTCCGGACATTAATGCTTTTTTAAACCATTCACAGCGCGCGGCCACAATTACACGATGTGCTTTAAAGCTATGAATTTGCAGTGACACATTTTTTAGTTCAGTGTGCGTCGCCATCAATGTAGCCCAACTCCTGTCGCTAATTGTGGATGACGCATATGTGTGCACTTCAAATTCCATATCCGCCATTTGCGCTGAGTGAAGCAAGCGTAATGCATTTTTTGATAGGTTGCTTTGGGCTGCAATGGGCGGCTCACACAAATGTCTTATTAAGTTAAGCTGTATGTAAATAAAACCGATCTTATGTTTTTATACGGTATGGATTAAATATTTGTTGCACATATTTACCTTAAAATTTCTGTAGTCATAATATTGATTCGTGGGCATCGTTTTGCTACTGCTCTGACCTAAATCCAAATTATTTTCCTGGTCAGCCAGCTTGAGATCATGTTGTAGCTGGTTAGATGGCTCCAAAAATCCGAGCTCAATAATCGACTTCAAAAATTCTTGTTTTCGGACCACCTTACATATTTCCTCAATAGCTTCTCGAAGCGCTGATTTGTGATCCAATAACTTTACAAAAACGCCATTCTATAAAAAATGAGAAACTACTTAACACCACATTCCCACATCACATCATATAATCGGAATTCAGTGTATACTAGTTTTCAGAACATGCAGAAAGACGCGCAGAAGGCCCCATATAGTATATATAGTTTTGATCAGGATGAAGGGTTAAGTCTGCATAGCCATGTATGGCCAAATCAATTAATTAATTAATTAATTAGTAAGCGAGCTCGTAAGCAACCAAAGCCAAGGACTTGAATTTTGATTGTATATTTCTGTATACTATACACAGTACGAGCTAATAACGCAATCCGTTTCATTATTATCGACAAAAATCGATTATTCAAAAATTCGATTTTTATTAAGCAGAGCTTCAATACCATACCTTACTATTACGCTCTGAATTTAATTGAAAAAGTGTAATTATAACAAAAGTTGTTGAATAATTAATTTCCCATAGTAAAACACATTAGAGCAGCAACTGCGTAAAGTTCGTAGTCATCGGAATGCGTGGTTATGTGTGCATGTGTTTGTATGTGCACATGTGTTGCTTGTAACCTATATATAAATGAAAAGAATGATGATTGAAATAGCAGATTCAGGGTATTTTGTTGTTGGCAAATAATTAAAGAAAATTAAAATTTTTATAAAGCTAAAATTACGTGCGAGATATAATTTAGTATCTAAGTTCAGCAATATTATTTATCGAATATCAAATATCGAATATTTATTGATAATTTGATATACTCAATCTCTCTTATAACTTCTGAGATCGACGCCTTAATTCATACGGACAAAATCGACCCACCTTGTCGTCGCTGGTCGTCAAATACATATGCTTTTTAGCTAAGTCAATTAACGTTGGGCACCTCCGACTTTCTTATTTGTTTTTTATACCCTGATCCCATTAAAAATGGGAAATCAGGGTATAATGGTTTTGTGCAAATGTATGTAACAGGCAGAAGGAGGCGTGGCAGACCCCATAAAGTATATATATTCTTGATCAGGACGACAAGCCGAGTCGATTGAGCCCTGTCCGTCTGTCTGTCTGTCCGTCCGTCTGTCCGTCTGTCCGTATGTGTGAACGCGTGGATCTCAGCATCTATAAGAGCTAGAGACTTGAAATTTTTTTTGTAGGTCCGTGTATAGCACGCGCAGGTCAAGTTTGTTTCAAATATTCGATAACTATTCGCATTTAATTGTTATCGAATAAAAACATTATTGAAATGCAATAAATAAATTATATCTCAAACATCTTAGGAGCTAGAGCCTCCAAATTTTGTATTTAGTCTTATGTATATTTTATGCAATTTTGATTTTTGTTAGATTTTGGATACCGGCTCCAAATTCCCCCAAATTCTTAAAATTTAAGTTTAGTTGGAACTAGGGCCATTATGTGAAGGCGTTTGCATCTCAACCAAGCCAATAGGATATGTAGATCATATGCTGAAAATTTCATTAAAATCCATTAAGTAAAACAGAAGTTATTAAACAAAACGTTTGGTCAATTTGCAAAAGCACATGTCAGCAGCGCCACGCGCACGCATTTTTCCTATGCGTGTGCACACATACATTCAAATGCGTGTATTCTTTTCTATTCCAAGAATTGAAATTGCGATTGAATTGTGCTGAATTATTAGCTGCTACTTATGTTTAAATTTGCAACAATTCGCGTAAGAAGGGCAGTGGCTGCGTTGGTAGAGGCGCCGCTCGTGTGCAGCTTGGTCCGGGTTCGAGGTTATGAAGTGGCGATGTTGGTAGAGTTTGTGCACGTTGCGCAAATAATCCGGGTTCGAAACCTGGTCTCGCAATGTCGATTTTTATTTGTTTTCTTTTTTTTTTTAATACTCGATACAAACTACGGAAAATATTACAAAACTCAAAGGACTGGGATCAGGGTATCTCCTAGTCGGGCACCCCGACTAGAGCTTTCTTACTTGTTTCTGTATTGTACTTTGTTTAGAATAGTAAAGTAAAGTAAAGTGGCCTTTGGTAATATAGTCATATTAACGTATTTGTTATGTTCGTGTGCGTAGTCTTTTGCTAAGGAATTTGAAATTTTTATTCCTGTATACCATTATCTTATTACCTTACCTCATTATTGATATAAAATGAAAATATAATGTTTTTTAAGCCTAGCTTGAATATCGGAAACAATTTCTCTAGGGGCATTTATGATATGAATACACAAACTTAGTATATTATTTCAAATACGTATGAGAAAAACACAAATCTAGATGTCATCATGCTCTAAACATTTTTTAATAAAGTCCATGTAGGAGGAAAATTATTCAACAATTCAGGCCAAGCGGAATCACTGCGTAAACTGCACATTAAACAGAGACCGTGGTTAAACATACTTGTGTATGCACACGTAAGAGGTATTGTTTGTAATGTATGTATAAAAAAAAGTATAACGATGGAAACATCATCTCTTGCAGGGTTCACCAGACCTTCGAGATGTCACCCCGAGTCTTAATTCGAGTAATGTTGTATTCACAACTATGCCATGATAATTGTTCAATAGGGAGAGTTTAGTTTCGCATGCATTTGAGAGCAAATATAATTTTAAATTTGGTATCATTGATCTTAAAATGATTAGGTGTTGTCATAGCTTTAAGCAAGATTTTGTACAGTTTATGGTACACTTATTGACAACTTTCGTAGGTTTACTAATATTATAATATTATTGTATATTATATTATAATAAATATTAGTCAAATTGGAATAGTCGACAATTATATAAGAAATGGGTGATAATGTTATAAGAATCTTCTTACGTTCGAAAAGTATTATCTGATTTTACAAAGTTCCTAGTTTTGATATAACAGCTGGGCGAAAAAGTGGACATATGATGTGCTAGTGATAATTGTTTAGAGTGTATGTATATTTAAGGTTCAAGTATATGAAATATATAAAGCAATTACTCACAATTTGACTGGTAGCCAACTTAAAGCAGAATTTAAATTGTTTCCATCCCAGCTTGTCATCTAGGCGATCTGAAAGATTCTCTATAGTCGATATGTAAGCAGGTATGTCCACAATAAGCTTTTCGAGATTCTGTTTAATCGTGCTGCGCTTACTAAAAATGTCCATTTCACAAAAGGTGCTCCTTAATAGAAGAATGAGGTCGAAAAAGTTAGAAATATAAACATATAAACATTTGCTTACTTTTTGTCTTTAATTATTTCCAGGGCAGTTGTGATACGTCCATAAATGTCACGCATTTTTCGAACTTCGTACATATATAATACAAACTTTAGATCGTTTTCTGCGAAGCCGATGCGTTGCTCTGAATGATTGTCATAAAGTGCAGAACCGACGGGTGGACCATGACGTGGCCTAGGCGACATTATTACGCCGTTAACAAATCGCTGCTGCATAGCAATATCATCATTCAAATGTTGCTGCTTCTGCGTCCGATCTAAATGAGTGCAATTTAAGTTCTATTCGAAAAAGAATTAAACTCAAATGTAGAATAAATAAAACATGTTGAATTAGTTTTGATGCTCTGGTAGTAGTCAATATTAATCTATAATCTCCAATGAAGTGAGACAGTAAATTGGGTTTGTGCAACGCTGTCTTTTTGTATGAACGTAAGCCACTTGAAATTAGAATATATACTTATGGGTACACCCCTGTGTTATAATGTTGGGATATGTCAAATCGAGCCATACTATATCCGGTATATCAGAAACGCTAATATTCAAATCTATCAATGTATATATTTTAGTTTGTTAGATCTGGAAACTTAAAAGCTCGTTTAGTGAGTCACTGTTAGCCTCCTCTATTCATGCATCAAATATACTTTTTTTCTATCCCAGATATCCCAAAAACTATACAGTGGAAATTTTAAATGTATACTCATATATCATACGCATTACAAGTTTATCATTTTTGTTTTGATAAATTAACCCATTTTTTTATTATCGATCAAGATCAACTTAAGCGTAGCTTGAATACCGTAAGTTTTTAAGATTTCAGATTTACTGTGCAGTTTGGACCTGTAGTAAATAAAGATATTGTGTATGTTTTGGATTTTGGATACTTCGCTCCCTTCCCACCAAAAACATACTACTCCAAGTATCGAAATTTCGATTGAATTGTGCTTGAATTGTTCACTTAAGTTGCAAATTTCTTTCCAAGCCATGAAGACAATGCCAGAGTACGAGCCTGGCGGCAAAGGGAAATTTTTTTTGCTTTCTAATATTTTAATTATGAAGTGGCGGTGTTGGTAGTATTGATGTGCGTTGCGTTGACAATGTGGGTTCAAATCTTGGTGACGTAATGTTGTTTTTTAATTTTTTTATACCCTGATCCCATTAAAAATGGGAAATCAGGGTATAATGGTTTTGTGCAAATGTATGTAACAGGCAGAAGGAGGCGTGGCAGACCCCATAAAGTATATATATTCTTGATCAGGATGACAAGCCGAGTCGATTGAGCCCTGTCCGTATGTCTGTCCGTCCGTCTGTCCGTATGAGTGAACGCGTCGACCTTAGCATATACAAGAGCTAGAGACTTGACTTGAGACTTGTAGGTCCGTGTATAGCACGCGCATATCAAGTTTTGTTTCAATTGTTATCGAATAAAAGCATGATTGAAATGTTTTTAGTAAATAATATCTCGTACGTTTTAAGAGCTAGCGGCTCAAAATGTTGTATTTAGTTTTATGTATATTTTATGCAATTTTGATTTTTGTTGGATGTTGGATACCAGCTCCAAACTTTCCAAAATTATTTAAATTTCAGTTCGAAATTGGGCCATTATGTGAAGGGGTTTGCATTTCTATTAAACAAATAGAATATGTATATCATATGCTGAAATCCATTAGGTAAAACAGAAGTTATTAAACAAAACGTTTGGCCAATTTGCAAAAGCACATTTTTCCTATGCGTGTGCACACATACATTCAAATGCGTGTATTATGTTCTATTCGAAGAATCGAAATTGCGCTTGAATTGTGCTGAATTATTAGCTGCTACTTAAGTTGAGATTTGCAGCCTCTTTCACAAGCAGAGCAGTAGTAGACTCTGGGTTAAAGACATTTTTTATTGTTTTAATTTTTATTTTTAGTATGAATTGGCGGTGTTGGTAGAGTTGCGTAAAAATTGTGGGTTCGAATCTTGGTGTGGTAATGTCAGATTTTTTTTTTTTTTAATACTCGATACAAGCTACGGAAAATATTAAAAAACGTAGATAGGACTCGGATCAGGGTATCTCTTAGTCGGGCACCCCGACTAGAGTTTTCTTACTTGATAAATATACTTCATTGTTTTTATCTATTATAAGTTTATGAAAATGTTTGAACTCGCAAATACACAATAAAGCTCCAATAGGAGAGCTGGTAATTCAATCAGGAAACCCCAAAAATCGGCCGCAGCGTAACAATAGGAATTTTTTTTTGTATAAATTTGTGGGTTCCAACATACATTCAAAACGGTGGTCAGTTTCAACTGCGAACTGGAGTTTAAAGCTTTCACTTCTACAAATACAGCAATAGACACATGTCGCGAACACTACGGCCATCGAGGAACATTAGTCGAAGTACTGTTCGTTGCCACACAACTGTCGCTGTCTTAGCATAAGGTGCTTCAGTAACTGGGAGGCTGCAACATAATCAAGAGATGCTGCCGTCACAGCAGAGTACGCGATGTTGCCGTTTGTTGTCGTCATTTTGGCACGAACAACAGGCATGCTGCTCTCCAGAGCGATGTAGGTCCTGCGTCTGGGTTATAAAAGGCGGCCGCAGCTCAGCATAAAGGACAGCAAAAATATAATAAAAAGTTAAAGAATTAAAAGAAATCCGAAATTCAGTGCGAGCAATGTGATCAAATAAGGGACATCGATACTAAGGACATCGGGCAAAATAAATAAGATGCCTATCAAGCACATAGACACAGTGAAAAGGATCCGCGAACAACAGTTGCCAGCAGTGGAGTAGCTGAAAAGAGCGCTTAGAGCTTATGAATCCTGTGCAGGAGTAATCCTTTGCTACTCAAGAAAAAAACAAGAATATTTGAAAGAGGATTATGTTGACCACATTTGCCCCACAACAAGAAATAAGAGGTCGAGGAGCAAGCAGCTCTGCTCCAGAATACCAAAAAAATCGACAAACAGGAGCACAGATGGAGTTATGAGCTTCGATGGCAGGACAAAGCTATTTTCGTTACTAGATCAGGTGGCCTAGCAGTCATCTTCGGTCTGGATCTGGACCTGATGCTGATGGTGATACTGGAGCTGTAGGAAGATATGGCCAAGAAGTGATATGTGACAAGTAACAGACACTGGACAACGTGAACAACAATTATTAGCAGCTTCAAAGAGTATTTTCTGCCACTTTAAGAGCTTGAAGGACATAGTCACTCGTCGAAGACCAAGGTGGGTGAGGTATTCAAGATATATATGGTGGAAATGGAGTAAGTTACGGCAGCATCAGTGCTCAAATAAAATGCAACGCTGAGGACCCTTGATTACCATCGGAGCATGGCAAATGAAGACCTAGATCTGCCCCAAAGACATGCACGCCGATTCAACGAAAATATTTCCAGAATTTAGCCAGCGCATGTCGGATGTATGGCCCAACGTGCCACATGGCTATAGAGTGTTAAATTGGGAGGTGACCAGCAGTTTTCAGGGGCGAGTGAGAGCAACAACGAGAAGACCCCAGGCGTTAGTAGGCTCGCGTCAGATTGAAAGCACACAGTTGTTGGCCCCAAAAAGAAATGTGTAATACTTCTGGCAGACAGCAGCTGCAGTCAGGTGGACTCGCAAATTGAGGCAAAGCTCAGACTGAGGAGTTAGCAAATCTTTGTCCCTTTTCTGATACTGCAAACGGGGAGCGATCCATTAAACCAGCAAACAAGGGAACAGCCGGAGGAGAGGCAGTGGGTCCCCAGACACCAATATAGGCAAGCTCAGAGCTCAAGGTGAGTGCACAGTGTTCACAAGAATGAACAGATGAGCCTCAGAGGGACAGTTAAGCAAAACTTACAGAGTCGGTCTTCTGTTCACTCCTATCTTGGTGCTTAAAGAAATTTGGGAATCTACTCGTAAGAATCGCCCGCATCAACGTATATTGTAGATTGTACATCTATGACAACAGGAGCGTTAGAACTCACAAAAATTTATATGTTCTAAAGATGCAGTGTTATAGAGTAAGAAACTTAAACATTAAATTATTTAATTACTGTTGACTCATTATTATCGATACAAAAAAAAAAATGGGACGGCCCTTTGGGAGCGGGGCTATTTGAAAATATCCAATGATTTCCAAACTTTGTCAGACTAAGCCCCAAATTTTTAAACCCACTGAGGCCGTGTCTATTCGTGAATATTGTATAACTTACCGTTTTACAGCTAGATACGAACTCTGAACGACAAAATTACCAAAACTGATATATGTATCAAGCCCCATATTTTCCAATTAGAGCTGACATTGATTAGACCGTAAATGCGTATTATGCAGGCCGAGCGCAACTTTCTTGTCTTTCTTAATTTTTTCCGAATACCCAAATGATTAATATAAATTGCTCAACTAATAAGCTTACTGAAGCATATTTTTTTATTGATTGAATAAACTTTTTTACAGTGAAGTCACGGCATATAAATTAAATAATCAATAATCAATTATCTAATTATACTATTTACGCAAATGTTTTTAATTCAACCTTCGTAATTGATTAAAGTTAGTATGAATACACTTGACTGTGGTGGCGTTCAGTTGTGTAACGATCTTTATTCGTTTGAGTTACTGTTCTTATACCCGTATTTGATCCCTTAAATGTAACTTATCTATGCTCAGAGTGTTGGTATGTCTAATTTTAGACTCTAAGCATGTAATTTGATCTATTCTTATTACACTCCCTGCAAGTGGTTGAGGACGTAGACGGCATGCGTAGAGTTCTGGAATTCTGCGGAGGCCAAATGTGACAGCTAGCAGTTGCTGCCTCTGGTTTCTCTTCTTAATTCGTTGCCTGTGTCTCCGTCTGTATAGCATCCCAATTTTTCGATGCTTTGCAGAGATCTCTGGGACGTCCAGGCTCATCGTTGTTGATGCGCTGATTACCTTGTTGGTTGATAATCCAGCTATATTGCCAGAGGCAATCCATCCAAGTTCGTTCTTTTGTCCTAGGGTTTTCTTGATTTTCTTTACTTTTCCTAACATGATTAGGGGAAGTAAATCAACGCCAATAACAACATCATTTTTAAGGGGCTCGTTAAAATGTTGGTCTGCTAGCTCGCAAATATTCCAATCCTTATTGCCATCCATTTCAATTTTTTTGGTCGGAAGAGCTCTCTGAAGTTTTTGCATAACAAGAGCTGCGTTCTAGTGACGGATTTTTTACCTGGGTTTGATTGTTTTGTTTGATTGATTGATTTGCAAACACTATTTTTTCCACTTTCAGTTCGGTTCGGCGCAGTTTTAATTGTGCGGCTTTTTCAG